AAAAAAAAAAAAAAAAAAAAAAAAAAAAAAAAAAAAAAAAAAAAAAAAAAAAATGAAGAAACAAACAAGTAAAACGTTTGAAGTGTCACAATCTAAAATTCTAATTCCATGTACAATACAACAGCGTGCACATCTCGAGGGCAAAATGGCATAATTTGCGAGTAAGGCGCGAGAAATCCTGAATATATGTATATATATACATGCGAGACAAGTCGCACACCCGACAGAACCCTCGCATATTATATACATTCATGCATTTACGCGCACACATGTATATCTCGCGGCTCTTTCTCTCACGCCCAGGGTGTCGCGCTCCCCGTCCCGCTCCATCGCGACCAAGTTCCCGGAACTTTGTCTCCCGTTCCCTCCCGTCCCATCCTTTCTCTCGGCGATATACACGCGCACACACCCCATGGCGAAGCTGTGCGTCGCCTCGCGCGCCGAGTGTCAACTGCACACGCGGGAGCAAGAGAAAGCCGGGCGGGAATGAAAATTCGAAAAGCAGTTTAGGTAAATCAATTTTCTCGCCCACCGCTTTTGCCGTAAATTCCCCCCCCCCCTCCCCTTCCATCGCCACCACTGCGGAGCTTGACGCTTTTGTCTATGCCGTTTATACGTGCGTGTAGATATATACATATACACGTGCGCGCGTACAAACGATCTTCTTGTCGTTTACTTGCCACTGCTGCTGATGGTTTTTCTTTATTATTTTCCGATCGGCTCTTGCGCTTTTGTGCGCGTCAAGGGCGCGAATTAATTAGGAGGCTTTTGTAAAGCTCGACAACAAGGCAGGGGAGGCTGAATCGCTTTTGTGTCCTGCTATACCACTCGTTATTTCGGACGACTGCGCTTAATCGAAATTCGTCGCTTGCAAAGTATGGTGTAATTGATGATTATATTCGCGTCGTCTTGACATCGCGCTTCATATATAGTATTAATACTGATTACCGAGTGGCCTGCAGAGTGACGTTTCGCTCCTTCACGTTGATAAAACTCGTGAGAAAGAACCACGTGTTTTTTGGTTCATCAAGCTCGAGAGACCCTTCAACTTTGACTTGTTTCAGACTTGAGGGGTTTTATTCATTGGATTCGTCCAAAAGTTACTTTCATTTATTTTTCCACGAGCTCTAAAACCAGGGCTTTGTTGTGAGCATTTTTTAAAACTGTCAGTAAGGTACAGCTACCACTTATATATCATTACATTACACGCGTATGACCACCACAAGCAATTCGAGATGTATATTCCCCCCCCCCCCCCAAACGAATCCTCGTTCTTTGATAATATTTACGCTGAGCCTCCCTGTACGTCGAGCCATGTCCGATTGTTTGTTCGTGATTTCAGTTTAATGTAAGCCGAGCGCGCAGAGTCAGTGATTTCGTACGTGAAAATATCAGTGGCCCGCAGTACACGGTTCGAAGGATAGAGGGTGGGGGGTGTAAATGTACGCGTACGCGTGTGCGATTGACGTCGAGCCGTTAAACGAGAGACGGGCAGAAGGTGATGCTCGGGGAGGGGAAGGTCAGTTTTGGAGGGGTAGCCCGTGTGTGGATAGAGCTGAAGACGAGACTCTGTGGAAGTTTAGGGAAGGGGGGGCTCTGACGAGGGTATACACAAGTGGCCGAGGGCGAGGGTTGAAGTGCAAGTTTTCAATTACGAGGGCTTTGATTGTTGCGGTTTGTCGGGACGTTATCGCTCTCCTTTTTGGCTCGTTGAACGATGTACCGTTCGACAGGATAAATGTTTGGCGCACGCGCCCATGGGTTATTGAATTGTCCACCTATTGTAAGGTCAACAATCGAACCAAGTACATTGTAATCCGCGTGTTTCTTCTCGATGCCCATGGAGCCAATGATGCAACTGTTTCGGTAAAATTGTCGCGAATCAACACAATCAAAGTTTGAAAACAAAAAAGATATCTACATTTCGATGAGTCGATGAAAATTGTACAGTTACGGGGGCGCATGGACGCGATCAAGTGCATGGTTTCAACAAGGCACACGCGAGCAAATTCATTCAGCCAACTTTGGTAAGCCCCGACGGGCTCGTGTGGGTACACGATGATATTCCCCCATTAGGTCGTCATGTAGCCGTATCCTTTGCGGAATCTCAATTCAGGGTGAAGATGTGCAAATTCACGAGAGCATATGTTAGCAAGCAATTTGAATTCCCTCGATTCTCTTTCTCCCGCTCCGTCTGCGGGTCGTTTAGGAAAACGGAGTCAGAATAGGGTGGAGGGGCCGAGCTCCGCACAGTGGATTTCGATCATCGTAATTTCGCATCACGCTCGTCGCCACATGCAGTCGTGGGTGAGAATAGGGAGCTCTCGAGAGCCAATAAAGGAGATGAGAGAGAGAGAGGGGGTGCGCGAGTGTTTTGGATTATACGCCCGGGAATTGGGTGCACCAACTCTTATTGGTTTCCGATGTGAATTGCTTTTTTTTTTTTCTTTTTTTTTTTTTAGCACCAGACACGTGCGTGTAATGTTCCAAAAATGAATAGAGATCCAACCGTGGTATTTTGAACGATATGATTTTAAATCGATTTTGATTAGCATCTTTTTGCAACAGCCATGCGTCTAGTAGAACAAATTTATGAATATTATTATTTTATGCATAATTTTTATAGACACTGTTTTGAGGACGTGGTCCACTAATGTATCTTGATGTTTGTGATTGCAGGTGAAAATTTGGTTCCAAAATAGACGGATGAAGTGGCGCAACAGCAAGGAGCGCGAGCTGTTGGCGACGGGGGGCTCGCGCGAACAAACGTTGCCGAACAAGAACAATCCGAATCCAGACCTGAGCGACGCGGACGGTGATAGGCAGCGAATGGACCTGAGCGACGCGAGTCCGCTGACGAGTCCACTGAGGCCGGACGAGCACAGCGACAACGACGACGACGAGGAGATCAATGTCACGTGATCAAATTGTTGATAAACGACTGCGAGGATTTTTATTTTTTAACTAACGGGTCTTCATTTTTGTTAGCGGGGTTGTTTAGGTGGTTGTACGGTCGAACGGATATACGACCGGGGGTGGTTCCCTCGATAAAATGAGTATACACAACAATCACGGGAAATTCGGACAGTACTTCAGTCTATTCCACGAATATTCTAGTTTCTCGTAAACTTCGTTCAAAGATGGAAATTTCTTTAACTTTCAAAATGTCCTTACCTGAATGTAAAAAGTTCCAACGTCTTTAACGAGTAAAAGACTGTCAGGAGTTTTAGGAAAGACAACATTTTTTGTGGATTTATGACGTTATTTCTGTTAATTACAAGTATTCATATGCAAAAGAAAAAACGTTTGATAACTCATTCGATTTAAAGGATGTCTTACTGCTTACAGATTGGCAAAATATATTTACAAGAATCAGCATGAAGTGAGGAATCGCTTGTTTGCATTTCTATTGATACATTTATTCATAAATCTATGATTTTTTTATCAAGTTTTTGAAAAACCTTTGTCATTTAATCCTTCACATGTGATTAAACGGTGAAGCCCATTTTGTAGATATTGTATAAAATTCGATTGTATATTCGATTTTATTTTTATTGTACGTAAAATTTCTAAATTAAGTGGTGAGTTGAGGGAGCCACCATAAATGACCACGCGATGATGTAAAAATTGTGGTTATTGCAAAAACGGTGTAGAATCGATTGTTGCTTAAGATTTTGGAAAATTCGTATGCGTAGTTAAATAATTATTGACAAAGAATTGCCAACGATGCGTTCTAGTCTCGTATTTTTAATAAGGTGATTTATAATGTAAAAAAGTTGTATTTAGGATGAATGAGTCGTTTGTGAGGAACAGTGTTTTCCTTAAATTATTTGTTTGTTTGTTAAACAACGGAACATATGGAGAAGATTTTTTTTTCAAAGTTCTTAGATCAAAGCTTTATTTTGGGACGCGTCGATTATGTATTTTTTAATATTTAAACTAATAAAATAAAATAATCGTTCCCTCTAAAACGTTACGAAATATTTAAAAACATTATGTTTTCAGTAATTCACTTAACGCATCTTCTTTTGTATATAACGAGTCGAAAAATACGATGACAACGAATTGAAAAATGCTCATTCAAAACATACAATTAATAATACTGATTCTGTCAATCAGTTTAGACTAAAAGTAATAATAAAAGTTTGTGCAGTTGATGATTCGTAAAATAATAGAATCAATTCCTAATGTCAAGATTTTTCTAAAAATTGGAGTTGGGGTGAAAATGTTACAAAAGGTACTGAATTTATTTTAAAATAGAAATCCAGTGCGTGCTCAAAATAATGATTGTTGATGAGTTATTGAAAATTTTGTATTATACTGTCACAAAATGTTTGCATACTACTCAAGAAAAAAACTTGTACAATTATCTGTTCTTAAGCAGGTTCTTTGTTCGTATAAAAATTACTGTGATAAGTATACGGTAAGTGAATGCACCATAATATTAATTTAAATACTTAAACGTAGTGAGAATGTTATACTAATATAAACGATGCATTACAATCGATTCTATACGTCAGGAATTTATAAAAGAAATAAATAATTAAAGGAGAAAAAATCCTCCAAAAATTACGGAATTGTTCATGTATAGTACCCACAGCTTCAGTTAAAATAATTTTATGCGACTTGAAGTACCAGGCACTACACCACGTAGAAATCCAAAGAATGAAAATACGTATTAACAATCGACTGTTTGGACGAAATCTTCAAAGTTTTAAAGAGGTTTATAAGAAAATTTTTTAAAGTTGAAACCAAAGTATTGTATGGATAAAATTAATAAGTTGTATAATATTGTAATTAGAAAATTGATGTACGCTCGAAAATCTAAAATTTCAATCGAATTTTTTGTGAATTACTAAATTAAATGTTAAGTATAAAATGGTCAAAATTACAAATAAGAGTAATAATACTACGAGTGAGGGTGGAACTAAAACATGTAATTAAACCAATACGTTTCAGCGTGATATTATGGAAAAGTACATGTAATATATTATAATAAAATTATTCAGAAAGAAAAAATTTATTCTTATATGTATTAAAACCTATGGTAAAATCCTGCAGGGTGTGTTAGCCAGCTGTTTTATAAACAAATAATTCTAATCTATTTTAGAAAAATAAATGTAATACTTTGATCTATAATGGTAAAGCCAATTAGAGATACATGAGCGATCTGTGCTATCAACGAATAATATTGACTGAGTTAAAAAAAAGTTGTCACAAAAGTTGTCACGGTTTTGGACCATCAGCTCTATTGTTTTAGGATACTTTATGTTAGGAACTCTCAGAGATAATAAAATTTCTAACGCAAAAGTATACTTATACAGATATGAAGAACCAATAAGTTAGTAGCAGTTTTTAAAAAATCTATAGAGTAACAACCT